TTGTGAACACCAAATCATTTTGAGATATTCTGGAGAGAAACTAACATCCTTCCAAAGTGTCTTAGTATTGCTATATTATAGGACTGTGAATCTTTACAATATGCAATTCATCTATAGCATCAATCATAGGTAACTTTAAGTATTAACTACTAAGATTGTCTTTACAATTAAATAGAAATCATTTTTAAGTTATTGCTTGGGGCTGATTCTGAACCCAGAACAATGTCCTGCCGGGTACAGACATTTCCTAGCCCATCTCTCAGATGTTGGTGTTCCTCAGGCCAAGGTCTTCTCCTCTCAGCTCATCACTTTCCTCAGTGAATCTATCAGCAACTTGGGTTTCATTTACTAAGTATAAATAAACTCCAAATAATAATAAGGGCTGCCATTTGTTGAACACTTACTATGCGGTAGGCCCTGCAGCTTCCAAGCATTAAACCAGTTTATAGTTATAACCACCCTCCCTACAAGGCAGGAACAGCCCCCTTCTTCTAGCAATCACTTGGATGCCCATATCATGGGTAGCTCAAATGCCACATTTCCAAACTTAACTTACTTTCTCCACAAATTTGTACTCCTCATTAACATCATACAAATCATCACGGTCCAGAAACGTGTAAGTCCCTCTGGATTCCTTCCTCTCATATATTCTCCACTCCAAGAGAATTTGAGTTCTACTTCATAAGTATCCCTTCATTCTATTCATACTTTTATTTTCTAGACAAAGCTCCCATCATTTCTGGCCTGGAGATCTGCAACGGCCACCCAACTCATCTCTTTGCATCTAGTCCTATTTTTTTCTAATTCTGGCTATTCTACTAACTTAAAGTTATGACACTGGGCATCTAAAATATGGGGGTAATAATAAGGTCTCCCATCCTTATAGGCTGCTTGAGTAAATACAATATGTGGTATCTAAGTGTTAGGCGCTTAATGAAATCTTAGTTCAGCTGACATATAAATTGAGATAATTTGATGCTAGAGGCTACACATAATCAGAAAGATCATGATGAAAAGGGATGTGAAAAAGAATACTTTATTTTTTATTTTTTTTTTTTTTTTTCGACTCTGGTTTTTATTTTCTGTCTAGAGTTACAAAGTCATCTCTTCCCTTCCCTGGGATAGACATTGGTCCATCGTACCACTGTGGCCACAAACTCCCCTGTGGTAGCAACTGGCAAGCATGAGCTGTGCTCCCTGGGTCCGTTTCCCTCCATTCATGGCCCTGAGTCCCTAATAAGAAGCAGAGATGAGTTCTCAGGTGGGAGAGATTGGCTGCTGAAGTCTGTCATGGAGTACCTGCACGATTCCTTCTATTTCCTTGGCATTTCATCTGGCAATGGGCCCCGGAGTTATCTTGGCAGAGAGGAGAGTTAGGCCATAGTATAGGGGGAAGTGATGGGACACACTCTAATAGTCACCAGAGAGGAATGGACTTATTCCTGCTCACCAGCGTTGCCAAGAGTGAGGTGGAAGGATCTTTTAGAGGAGCCAGAGAAGGTCAGCAGACATGATTGATGGCTTAGGGATTATAACCTACAGGAAAAGTTAAAAGCAAGGCCTTGGGAAAGGAAGTTTTGCCTCACTAAGAAGACTCAACAAATAGTTGGTTTTTACATTCCATCTCTTCTCAAAATGGAACAAGCTCAATTGGTTACAATTGCATTGACTGCATTAGCCCCAGAGGCACTCAGATAAGCAGTGCTTGTGAGAAAGCACTCTCTAGTCCTGAACCGTGTAGATACTTGAGTAAGGATGTGGGAGACTCTGGAGAGCTCTACAAGCAAGGGAGTCCCTGCCCTCACCCTGCCATGCTGTGAGGGGCTGGATGGGTGAGAACCTAGTTTAGGAATTTCCCTTCACCAGGGCAGCCTCATCTCATTCCACAAAGATTTACTTAGCGTATGCTATGGACCCTGCATCATAAGTGAATATGTATCTTTTTACACCAGTTTTCCAGATGCGGGACAATGATTCCTGTTTATGGGCTTGTGGCAGATCAGACATAAGTCAGGCTCACAGGGAAGCCCTGTAGCCAGGAGGAAGGAGGCTAGGCAGGGCCGAATGGCCAGGCTGAAAGGAAAACAGACTACGGAGAGCCCCACGGTGACTCAGGCTGTAGTGCATTAAAGCTAGTAAGGGCATTGGGAGAGCTGGTCCAGAATGTGGACTGTGATAAAAAAAAAAATCTCGAGACCAAAGCTGTAGCTCTGGTAGAGGAAGGAGAAGAGCACTAGGGGTTGAGGGTTTTTCATTATAGAACCTGGAAGGGCATGAGAGAGGCCATCTGAGCAGCATCTGTTCTTTTCCTCAGATCTTACAGCTTCCTCTGCCCCTCCAATGAGAATCCTTCCATTCACAGTCGTGATCCCAGGCATGAGGCCCCTTTGGTAGGTCCTGGGCTGGGAATCCCACAGAATTAGAGTTCAGGATTCTGCCTCAGAATCCCAAGGATCCCTCAGGCCCTCTTCCCTTCCTTCCAGCCAACTTTCAGAAACCTCTCCTCACTGGGAAACTATGAATCCTATTTTCCTCAGGCTCTTTGATATCCTGGCTTCAAGTTAGGGAACCCAGGACTACTTAGGAGAAACAGGGCTTAGGGGGAGGAGTCAGGTGGAGGCTGGTGTAGGATTTATGCTTTCTTTTTATTTTTTTATTTTTTTTTCTTTTTTTTGAAAAAGAATACTTTAGAATTAAAAGTTTTTTAGGATATAAATATAAGTATACTTAAATTACTCTAAAATTTAGCAGCTTAAAACAACACAGCTTAGTTAGGTGCCCCTAGCCTGTTGTCTTTCATTAGGTTGCAAACTGTAGGCTGGGGTTGCAATCCCATCTAAAAGCCTTCCTGAGGCTGAGGGGCTTCCAAGCTCACACAATGGTTCATGGAGGCCTTCGCCCACTGCCACGTGAGCCTTTGCTCAGGGCTGCCTGACCACACGGCTGCTGGTTGGCCCTGGGGCAAGTGATACAAGGGGCAGTGAGAGAGAAAGGGCCCCAAGATGTAAGTCACAATCTTTTTTAAAATATATTTTATTGATATTTTATAGAGAGGAAGGGAGAAGGATAGAGAGAGTTAGAAACATGGATGAGAGAGCAACATCAATCAGCTGCCTCCTGAACACCTCCTATTGGGGATGTGCCCGAAACCAAGGTACATGCCGGAATCGAACCTGGGACCTTTCAGTCCACAGGCTAATGCTCTAACCACTGAACCAAACCCGTCAGGGCTGTAAGTCACAATCTTTAATAAACTCATCTCAGAGGTGTTATCCCATCACTTCTGTTATTGAGTAGAAGTGAGTCATTAAATCTAATCCATACTCAGAGATAGGGGATTATACGCAGCCAGAGACCACTGAGGGCCATCCTAGAGGCTGCTTACTAGTACCACCCAGGTAGACATCACACCTTACAGGGACGAGGGGGTGTGCTGAGGAATAAGTGGGGCCTGTCAGCATCTCCTTTAGCCCTCTCTGCTTTTGGAGTTACATTGAGTTGCATGTCCTGCTAATTCTTCATCAGTAGATACACTCTTGTCCCTGCCTCCTCCTCACTGCCACCCCTTCCGAATGGGAGACAGGCTGGAGAACTCACACATTCTTGGGAAGTGTTGCATATCAGACTATTTACATAATTCTAAAATAGATCAGCATTACAGTCGCTACCGGCTCTGTTGTTAAATGTGAATCCAAATCAGGGGAATTGGGAAGAGTGGGTGAAAAAGGTGAAGGGATTAAGAAGTGCAAATTGGTAATTATGGAACAGTGACAGAAATGTAAACTACAGCATTGGGAATATAGTTAATAATATTGTAATAACTATGCATGGGGTCCCATGCATACTTGAAATGTCAAGAGGACCACTCTGTAAAGTACATGATTGTCTAATCATTATACTGTATATATGAAACAAAGACAATTATATTGAATGTAAATTGTAATAAAAAAAACTTTAAAAATTTAATGAAAAATAAAGTGGAATAAGTATAACTATAAAAAAAGAAAACAACAATAATTAAAATTTAAGCATCATGAAGTTCTAAAAATTAAAGCAACTCAACTTATTATTATTATTATTGTTAATCCTCCATGGAAAAGGATATTTTTCCATTGATTTTTAATGAGTGGAAGGAAGGAGGAGAGACAGAAAGAGAGAAACATCAATGTGAGAGAGACACACTGATTGGTTGCCTCCCACACAGGCTTCACAGGGGTTGGGCCTGCAACTGAGGTGCATACCTTTACCAGAATCGAACCTGGAACCCTTCAGTCAATGGGCAGATGCTCTACCCATTGAGCAAAACTGGCTAGGGTAACTCAACTTATTTTTTTTTTTTAATTAAATCTCTATTGGAGGAGATTTAAAAATACAATACAAGTTAACAGTGAAAACAATTATTTTATGATACAATGTCCATATTTCTGAGAAGTATTTTTTTTTTTTACTATATTTCAGTCTACTGTTACAAGCAAGACGCAGAGCATTACAGGTTAAATGTGTGTAGAGACACGGGAGAAAAGGGCTGTCTACCAGCCAAGGGGAGAGGCCCTGAGCAGATCCTTCCCCACAGGCCCCAGAAGGAACCAACCCTGCTGACACCTTGAATTCAGATTTCCAGCCTCCAAAATCATGAGACAACAAACACACTTCTGTTGTTCAAGCCACCCAGTCTGGTTCTTTGTGATGGCAGTCAGAGCAAACAAATACCACAAGAAAAAGGAAAAAGAGAAATTTAGAGAGAGAGAGGAAGAGCAGGGCAAAGAGAGCAGGAGAAAGACTATGTGTTGATTTTAAAGAGAAATGCATAAGGGCCTATTATTAAAATCTCATTTAGCACATTTATGGAGTAGAGTGGCTCTATTCCAAGAGGCTTACAGAAATTTCCAAAAAAAAAAAAAAGCATACAAACAGAACCCAGAGCCAGGTGAAAAGAGCTGTGTTGGGGCCATGCCTGGCAGGGGCAGGCGCCAGAGCCCAGGAGCGATAGAAGAGCTTACCTTCTGGTAGTCCTCTTTGGATCGCAGGGCCGCCTCCATGTGCGTGGCGGAGGTCGGATAGATGGCTGAGCGGTACTGAGAGCCGTGGTCATTGCCTTGGCGCATGCCTGGGGGCATTGAAAGCAGAGGATTACTGGAGTGATTGGACAGCAAGCCCACGGCCACACGGTCTCTATGACTCATGTGCCAAGCACTTCTTTTAATTTTATCTTGCCGCCTCCCTTCTTAAATAAGAATAAAATGTATCTGTTTTGCTTTGCCTAGCCTAACACATCTTTGAACCTAGATAAATTTATCACAGGTCTTGGATCATAGTAGATGCTCTCTAAGTATGTATTTTTCTATGCAGATACTTAAATCGTCACTGAGTCCATTTATCACTTACAAAGCTCTGTGATGCACATTATTCCTTTGGCTCCTAATGAGACTCCTTCTATGATGGGTATTGGTGTCCCTCACTTAGCAGTTAAGGAAATGTGGTGATGTGCATGTCAGGGCCTGGATGGAACATTGTTTGGCATGTGAGAGGTGCCTGTAAGTGACACAGTAACTAATGCTCAGCCTATGATCATACACCTAAGCAAAACAAAAACAAACAAAAAAACCCCCTGGGACTTAATGTTGCCCAGTGCACTTTTCACCCTGTCACAGTGCTAGGATGTAGATGGTGGTCGATTTCAACTGAGTCATTTAGTCCTTAAAGACAAATAGACAAAGGCTTAATATGGATCCCCTACTGATCTCTATACTGCTGTCTGAATGAACTTCACATGTTTACTGCATCATTCAAGAATCAGTGTCAGTTTTAACAAATGCCCCAAAACTCCAACAGAAAAGTCAACCTTCCAAAGGAAACCAGTTTCGTATCTCAAACTTGATCCACAATCATATCACCTGGGGATGATTCCATAGGTCTGAGTGAGCCTGAAATTCCGCGTTTCTAAATTGCTCAGGGGTAGTGCAGGGTCACCAGATGCAACTTTGGATAACAAGAATTTAGCGTTTGCCCAGATATCTTCAAGATTCCTTTATAACCTTTCAGTGACATTTTTAATTCCAGCAATGTAGTGAGGAAAACATGAATCTTCCACACTACATTTTCACAAGTATGGCGTTGACAAGGCTCCTTCCACCCCACCTGTCATATACACACCTTTTACAGAACTCCTATTCTTTTAGATTTTTTAAGTTGATGATTTATTTTTAGAGAGAAAGAGGACACGAGAGGGAGAGAGGCAGAAAAGCATCAATGTGAGAGGGAGATATCAATCGGCTGTCTCCTATATGCCTTCTACTGGAGATGGAGCCTGAAACACGGGTATGTGCCCTGACCGGGAATCAAATCAGTGACTTTTTGGCGCATGGGATGATGCCCAACCAACTGAACCACAGTGGCCAGGGCAGAAATCCTTTTCAATCTTTAAGACTTAGTTCAAGCATCTTCTCTCTGGAAAACCTTCCCTGGTCACACCTCACATGACAGTCACAGACTCCTTTAGGCTCCCTCAGGCCTAAGGGATTTTATCACGCTGCATTGGTATCACGTGGTCATTCCTCTTTCTCTTCTGAGGGCATATCACAGCCATAGTACCTGATATACCCTCAGCCAGAGGGATATACTTCCACTAATATTTGTTGCATGAAGAATATATGCATTCATACCTTGTGATCTGGGGCCCTGCAATCAATACTGGAGGGCTCTGTCACATTTACTTTGTAAATGTAAATGCAAATTCAAACATAAATGAAATATTCTTTCTTAGGAGCTATCGGGGAAAAAAAAAAAACTACTAATGAGCTACTATGTTTCATCTTAGAGGTAAGGGCAGGAGTTAAAGACACCAAAGGCTCATTATGGCAGTTAATGGATGGGCAAACTAGAACTCATGCTCACAACTGTAGGCCCCAAACAGAGGGTTAAGTGGTAACAAAACAGTGCGACAAAGATGGTGGCGATCACAGCCAATAAGAAGGGAATATGTAAATTGATGTGACAAGGCGAGAGGCAGAATGTGGCTCTGGCCCAGTGAAGACAGAAAGGTGTCTCCAGGCTGGAGCAAAGGTGATGCCGGCCACCAGGAGAAGGCCTATTCTTGCATAAATCTTCATATATTGGGCCTCTAGTACAATATATAAGTATTGTTACAGAATAAATATTACTTTTAGTGCATACTCTGTAAATATTATTAGATTAACAATATTATTTATTAAGCACCTAATATGTGCCAAGTACTATTCCAGGTACTAAGGTCACAGCAATGAATAAAAGCACACCCTCTCCTCGCAAAGCTCACATTTTAGTGGAACCTAAGAGATTGGGTAGATATACATTCCAAAGTGATATTCTGGTGACATTTTCACTTCACCTTCCTCAGTTTTACCTCCTTCACTGACAAACAGGGCTTTCTTGATTAGCTACTTTCCATCCTTTTTGCATAAAGACATTATGGTAGTGACATTATTCTCCACAAAATAAAAAATAAATAAATAAAATAAAAATTGCAGAATGGTTGATTTTTGGTAAAATTTGATTCCTCCCATTCAAGTTGCAGAAAAGCAGGGTCTTCATGAAGAGTTGTTTAAATTTATTTAAATTTTCTTTTTTTTTTTTTTAAGAGAAATTAATATGTGAGTAAAAAAGAATCTGCAGGTATGACATTTCTATTTTCAACAAGTTTTGCTAAGATTCCATATGCCTTGTACAATGAAGAAAATAAATATCTGTACATCTTGTTGAAGGTCTTTGAATTATCATAGGAACCTGAGAAGTTGTTGCTTATGAATAAACTAGAGGCACGGTGCGGTCTGGTTGGCTGGCTGGCCCTGGTCAAACTCTGGTTGAACTCCCAGTCAAGGGGATAATTTGCATATTACTCTTTTATTATATAGAATAATGGCTTTTTATCAAACACAATGGGAGTAATGGAGAATTATTCTAAGGAAACAGTATAATAATGGATTCTCCCACTAGTCATATTTTCACAAATAGTCTGATAGCGAAGTGCATAATGAAAGCCTTAAGCTCACATCTGTATTTAGCACTTCTCTTGTAGTGACATGACAACCTAAGGGGTAGGGACATCTGGAAAGTTTTATAAAATTGTGTGGTTGGAAGAAAAGATGCACATGACTGTTGTGGTACGCAAGTATGCCCTATGACTTTTATAACTGGCAACTTATAATTTTTATTTTATATTTTTTAATTTAATAAATCTTTATTGTTCAGATTATTACAATAGTTTCTCCTTTTTCTCCCCATAGCTCCCCTCCACCTGGTTCTCACCTCACCCTCTGCCCTTATCTCCCCCGACCCCCGTCCTCATCCATAGGTATACAATTTTTGTCTGGTCTCTTCCTGCACCCCCCATAGTCCTATCCCCTTGAGAATTATCAGTCCACTCCCTTTCTATGCCCCTGATTCTATTATATTCATCAATTTATTCTGTTCCTCAGCTTTTTAATTCACTTAATTTTTGGGTTCACTTGATAGATATATATTTGTTGTTCATAATTTTTCTCTTTACTTTTTTCTTCTTCCTCTTCTTAAAGAATATCTTTCAACATTTCATATAATACTGGTTTGGTGATAATGAACTCCTTCAGCTTTTTTTTTTTTTTTTTTTTTTTTTTAATCTGTGAAGCTCTTTATCTGTTCTTCCATTCTGAAGATAACTTTGCTGGGTAGAGTAATCTTGGTTATAGGTTCTTGCTATTTATCACCTTCTGCGGCTCCCCTGAGTTTCCGCCTGACAGTCCAGATTCCCTCAGACTCGCCCGAAATGGGGTTCACTGCAGTCCCATTAGGGAGAGCTAGCAGCAACCTCAGCAGTCAGCCTTCTCTGCATGCACCGGTAAATGTGCCTCCAGACCCCTGCCCACTGCAGCTTCCCCGAATCTCTGAGTCTCCGTGTGCTCCTCTCTCTACCTGACTGTCCAGACTCCCCCCATATGAGCCTGGGTCCATAGCATTTCACCCGGAACTGGGGTTCAGTGCAATTGGAACTGGGGTTCAGTGCAGTCGGGGGCTTCCTTCCATCTCCTGCCAGAGAATTCCAGCCAGGCACTCAGCCACCCTTCCTCTCTGCCTGCATGTCTCCCTACATCAGTCCTCTGATTTTCCGTGAGTTTTCTTTCCTTCTGGTTGTAGAATTTCTACTCAGCCAGTTTTCCTGTGGTTCTGGATGATGTCTATTCTGTCTTTTAGTTGTAGTTTTGAAACTGTTGAGCAGTTTAGGTATTTATGTAAGCTTCCATCTTGGTTTCTCCCCAACTTAAAATTTTTAATCCCTTCACCCTTTTTTGCCTACCCCCCAGTACCACTCCTATCTGGCTCCTATTAGTTTGTTCTTTGTATCTACGAGTTTGTTTCTGTTTTGTTTGTTCATTTACTTTGTTATTCAATTCCACCTATAAGTAAATTCTATGGTATTTGTGTTTCTCCATCTGACTTATTTTATTTAACATAATACTCTCTACCTTCTGTATTGTTGTAAATGGCAGAATTTCATTCCTTTTATGGCCAGGTAATATTCCATTTATATATGTAGCACATCCTCTTTATCCATTGAATAAAATACTTAGGAATAAATTTAACCAAGGAGGTAAAAGACCTATACTGAAAAACTATAAAACATCGAAGAAACTGAAGAAGATACAAATAAATGGAAGAATATATTATATTTTTTTATTGGAAGCATTAATATCATTAAAATGTCCATACTAACCAAAGCAATCTACAGATTTGATGCAATCTCTATCAAAATATCAATGGCATCAATCTACAGATTTGATGCAATCTCTATCAAAATATCAATGCACTTATATAAAAAAAAATCCATATATAATTTAAGTAATTAGTGGTTATATTACTGCTGCAATCCAGGACAGGGATTTATGAACCGTACCCTGAAGTCACGATCCCTTGATTTAAATTCTAACTTGATCATCTGTTTATTTTAATACCATAATACTGATACAGCTCCCGTCACTGTTAACCTTGTCTTCTCTGTGCAGATTTGGGGCATTCCCAATTCACTCTGGGCAGCCTTATATGGGAACAACATCGTGGGCATTATCCATAGCTCTGATCCAGTCTCCCTGTACCTTT